AGTGTTGTGAGGATTAAAAGGGTTAATAATGTAAAACACCTTAAATAGTCTCTAGCAAACAGCAAGCTTATAACAAATTCAATCACTCTTATTATTGTATATTAAACATCATGTGTGATCGAGTGAACGTTTTTCAGGAAGATGGCACGGCAGTGGCTGAGATAAGCAGGAATGTACAGGGAACTACCGGGAAAGCTAACTAGTGCCATAGAATTAGGAAAAAAACAGATTCTGAAGCAGTTTACTAGAGAGGCACTCCAGAAATCATTTTCTGCTTTGTCTGTCATATGGAAGTATCCCCAAAGCAGACAAAATTAACTGTCTTTAGCTTCCCTCTTAACCTGTCCTTCAGTTCCCTCCAACCTTTTGTACCTTTGTTTCATTCTCTTTATCTGGATATATATGTATATATATATATTTTTTTTTTTTTTCTCTTAAATTTAAGTATGCTGGGGAGACTATGACTCCAATTGAGGCTACTGAGAAAAGACACTCAGATAAGAATAAAATAAGGACATCAACCCTACTGGCTTTTTTATCTTGTACTCAGCCTCCCTTGATAATACTCAAGAGAGAAAAGATAATGTTGCAGGAGATGAGAGAGGAGCATTTTTATTCTGCCCCATAGCATCACAAAAGTCTAAGATGGAACTGACTTCAGTTGTTTCTCACAGTTCAGCTTGACTCCTGGTACAAGGGACCAGGTCAGCATTCTCACTAACTAGCTGTTACACCCCGCCCCCAGGCTCTACCAAGCTCTTCCTGAAGGCCACACACCCTGTGTGGTTCTTCTGCTCAAAGAAAGCTAAAGAGAAAGTAAACAAAGAAACAGTCAAAACAAAGGCAGAACATGCTGCTAGGAATGCTAGGGGAATATTTCCAGAGATCTTTTATTCTGAGCCTCAATACTTCACTTGTTGCCTTATTCACCAGATTGTAGAGATTCTTTCCTTTTGATACAGCATTTTGACCTTTATCTTCACTCTCTTTAGTTATGTGTAACATTAGTTGTCGGGATCTCGCATTCCTTAGTCCTCACCCAGTGCTTGTTACTTTATGGTCAAGGACAAAGGCATTGATGCCTCTGGCTGATATCCCTGCTGTGTACCTGTCACCACTGACATTCACCTTTCTGATTGTCACCCTTGAAAAACAATATATCGTTTTTGAGGGTCATCTCCTTTCACAGATTCAGTCCTCAATGTATATGAAAAAAAACCAGTCTTTCTCCACTATCTTTGTCTATCAATTCAGCACAGCTCTCCAACCAGAAGGCACAAAAGAAATCTGTTAGCATGTGACTTGCTCTTACATGGATTCACAAATGTTGCATATCAAATTAGAACTCAAAAAAAATTGGGAAAGTCACCCAAATAAAACACAGGTATAATATAGTTCCCCTATAAACTTAGTAAAATTTTGTCACTCAATATCATTATATGTGTCATTTCCTGTGCCAGAGAAAAATACCAAGGACAGAGCTTTTTCCAGAGACCTTGCATCCTTTGTTGACATTCAGATGCTCTGCTATCCTAGGGAATGTCTCTAATTCATTCCATTCCTCTGTATGAAAAAATTGGAGTTCCTTTTGTCATCTCTATAACTCAAATGTAGATGGGCACCTTGGATTAGCAATTTCTACATTCTTCTCTGTCGATGCACAGTGACTGTTGCTTGTATATTTTCCTTTGGAGTTAATAAATCACAAGCATGTTATATATGTGAAATGTAGAGAGTCCTTAATAGGTAAGTATTCTTTTCCTGTGTTGGAAGATAGGTGAGACAGCAAAATTCAGCAAAATTCTTATAAGATAAAAATGTATGTTAATGGAATAATCACTTGCAAAATTAGTCCCTACTGTCCACTCTTGGCACCTGTTCCCTATTCATTATGTCTTTATCGACGACTTTCAACTGATTGTCAGAAGACAGTGTAAATCAAAGGCAGGACATATGTACTGCTACATGAACCTGAACCTTGTAAAAGATGCTAGATTTTATAAAATCAGCGTGCCTTGGAGTAATCCCACATTGCCTTCCTCCTTTCAAACTGAGCTCTGATTTTTTTCTTCAGGCACCTACGAAAATCTTCATCTTCAGAGGGGATTCTAATTAGACTATCCAAGTACCTGGCATCTCCCTCTTAGAAACTGTCATTGAACCAGGATGAGCCTTTGACTTAAGTTGTATTTCAATAGAAGAGAATGACTTCTTGACTTCTCTCCTGGCTTTGAGAGGAATGGAGTTTTCTCTTTTAGGTGTTCTCATTCTCTCTTTTTACGGAATTCAGTAAGTAATCCTCAAATACCTCTGGAAACCATTGTGCAACCATGAGGGAAGTAGCCTCTTGATGAGGCCTAGGCTATGGAAGGCAGGTAGAGAGATAAAAAAAATGAGTTCTCGATGGTGTCATTGAGCAGCTGTCATATGGTACCTGAAGCACACTCTAGCTCCAGTTATGTGTGCTAATAAATTTCCTTGCAGCTAATACATTTTTGAGTTGAGAATATCAAGTGTTTCAAACAAAAGCACCATAACTTCATATATTTAAAGTTATAAGGAAAAATTATTGGAATCATAAGAAGAGACATTGACAAATTGGCATATGGAAGAATTAGACCAGTTACCAATCGCAAAAGAGAAAATTTCCAAAGACAAGGATATTTTATGCACTCCAAACAAGAATGTTTGGATATCAGAAAACCAAGAGAGGCCTTGGGGAAACTTGATGGATCACTAGAATATTATTTTCAAATATATCTCTCTTTATAATCATGCTGTGTCAGAGAAAATATAAAGATTTTCTATCCACCTTAAATAATTTCACTGGAAAAACGTCTACTTCTGAAAAGGAACTCCTTGTTTACTCTAAAATTAGTTATTATCAATGAATATTAACTTATTAATAATTGAATAGATAAAATTATTTGAAAATATTTGTCTGCATCTTTCAATATAAATTTCCAAAATATTGTTAATTATTTGAAATAGATTGACTTTTAGTTGATTTTTTTCTGTAACAATTATTATCATATGCAAAATATCTTTTGCATTTAATCAGTCAAGATTTACTATTTCCAGTTTCAGAAACAAATGAAATTGTAAGTGGAATTGCTAAATATTTCTCCTTCAAAATAAGTAAAGCACTATTATTCCATAGATTAATGCATATGATGAGCCAAATCAAGTATTTTACAATATGATATGATTCTAATGTCATAGCAAATATAACACAGATAGCTTACAAAATGATTCAAATTATGGCCAAGAACCAGTGTTTAAAAAGGACTTCCTTCTTTGGGTATAGGTTTTCTTCCAAACATTTTTTTCCCTTAACATTATGATCAATCATAAACATTTCTAAGTGACCCACATTTGATAGGCACTGGCGAGTCAAAGATATATGAGTCATGATTCCATCCCTGAAAAAGATTTTTCTAGTTGTGTAGAAAAAAACAGATATGATATTACAGTAGAATAGAGCTAAGGGCCAAAACAGTGCCAGAGATAGCAAGCAATATGGTCCTTGGGAGGAGAGTGTGGTTTCTGTGGACCAGGCTGCCACTCCCCAGACACCAGAGAGACTGTAATTCTTGAGCTTGTCATTTAAAGTGTCCCCAGGGATCATAGGCATCAACAACCCCCAGGAGCTTGTTAGAAATGCAGACTCTCAGGCCCTGCCCTGAATCTACTGAATCACAATCTTTATTAACAAAATCTCCAGGTGATTTACGTGCACAGTGAAGTTTGAGAAACATTGCATATAGGGTACAAAGGAAAGAAAGATTTTAATCCTCCTTTTTTGAATTTTTTTCCTGAATTGGCTATTTCTAAGACGTTAATGCCAGCCTTAGTATACGTGCAGATTTCTTATTTACCTTGCACACACTATTGGAAGCAATACTAATGTTTCATGTGCAGGACAGCTCTGTTTGCAAGAAAGGTGCTCCACGACCACTGTGCCCGTGCGGGAGGGCATATTCAGAGCTCTCATCGCCAGGGATCATCCACGGATTTCCTCTTCATTATCTCCAATTTGACTGCAAGGGTGTTTGGGAAAAAAGGAGCACTTGACAGGATTCCTGGTTTCTAATCTCAGTTTGGGCACTAATTAGCAACATGATTTCAATCACGTAGTTATTCCAGATACTATTTTCTTATCTGTAAAAGGATATTGAATGATTGTTAAGCCTTCATTCAGCTCTGAAATTTATTAGCTCGATTTCAGATTATCACACATTAGAAGATAAAAGGAATGGGGCTAACACTGCTTAGCCTTCCGTGCAATTTTTCAGAGAAATGAATGTTGAAGAATTGGTATTGTGTATGGAGTATACTTGAAAGCAAATTGTTGTTGGGTTAAAAACAAGAAAATGCTGAGATTCCTCAGTGCCATGTTGTTATTTAAAGGAACTTTTTGCTTACTTTAAAACACAAAACAGATTTTTTACCTTCAACAGCCAATTTCCAAATACTGTACATATTTCTTATACAAGCTAAACATCGCTGGTATGACTCCTAAATAAGGAATACTAATGAACTCAATCTTCCCTTATATACTTATTTTCTTGTTTCCTTCTTTGACCTAATTTCCTGAAGCTTTCTTTTATCATTTCGAGTTGTGTTATTTGGAAGACTAGTAGCTTCTTATCAAATGCCTTGCCATCAAAAATTCATAAAGTAAATGATTATTGAGTGTCTCTTAGGGGCAAAGCAATGCTAATCTCCATGGGACATTCAAAGAAATAAAACAAGTCCATGGTGTTAACATTTTTGAGTAATAGAATGGTGTAATTAAGGTTATAAATTCAGACACACTATTTATTGAGGAAACCCCTGACCACGTATCAGGCACTACGTATGGTAGGTATGGTCACATGCATGACCTCATATAATCCTCATGACAATGCTATGAAGTAGATATTGTTATTATTTCTGTTTAACAGAGGAAATACCTGAGATTTAGGAAATTAAGTTATTTACCAAAGGCTACACAGCAGAGTTGAGTTGCAACAGAGAGCTTGTAACTTGCAAAGCCTAATAACATATTTACTATCTGGGCCTTTACAGAAAAAGTTTACCAACTCTGGCCCTCGAAGATAGCAAAGTCAGAAAGTGGAAGGAGCCTGGGTCCCTAAAACGCTAAGAGAGCTGCCACCAACCTGAATCCAAACTTCCTGGATTATTATATGAGCCCAGAAAACCCTGTTATATTTGATATATTAAATTTCAGAGTTTATTTGTAACAAAGTTTATCCTATCATTACTAATGCATCCATTTGTAGATGAGAAAAAAGTAAGTCAGAGAAGTTGTCAGCTATGAATATATTAATAAGTGAAAAGGACAGGATTTGAATGCAGGTCTGGTTGACTCTAAAACCTGTCCTATTTCTCTAAGTTCAGAGTGATCATCTTTGGATGTTGAGTTCACATGTGATTTTTATTTTCTTCTTCGATTATCATGTATTTTTTTAAATAGCTTTATTGAGATACGATTCATATGCCAACAAATTCACTCTTTTAAAGTTCAACGGTTTTTAGTACATTCACAGAGTTTTACAACCATGACCATGATCTAATTTTAGAACATTTTTGGCACTCCAAAACAAATCCCATTAGCAGTGACTTTCTATTCCCTACTCCTTTTATCACCTGAGAACTACCAATCCTCAGTCCTATTCATAGTGGACCAATGATGAATTTATCTCTTCTAGACGTTTATATAAAAGGAATCATATAACATATGGTTTTTTGTAATTGGCTTGTTTAACTTAGCACAACATTTTCAAGGTTCATCCATGGTGTAGCACATATCAATACTTCATTCCTTTTTATTGATGAATAACAATATTTCATTGTATGGATATTGTTTATCCATTAATAATTTGGGCTGTTTCTACTTTTTAGCTCAAGAATAACATTGCTAGGAACATTTGTGTACAAGTTTTTCTGAAAACATGTATTTTCATTTCTCTTGGGTATATACCTAGGAGTGGAATTGCTTGATCACATGTAACTCAATGTTTAACATTTTAAGCAACTGCCGAACTGTTTTCCAAAGTGGCTGCACTATTTTACAACCCCACCAGCAGTGTATGAGGATTCCAATTTCTTCACATCCTTGTCAACACTTCTTTTTGTCTCTCTCTTTTATTTTAGCCATTCTTGTGATGTATAACGGTATCTCATTGTAGTTTTGATTTGCATTTATCTAATGACTAACGATGTTGAATAACTTTTCATTTGCTTATTGGCCATTTGTATATCTTTTTGGAGAAATGTCTATTCACATTCATTGCCCATTTTAAATTTGGGTTATTTGTCTTTCTACTGTTGAGTTCAAAGTGTTCTTTATATATTCTGGATACAAGTCTCTTATCAGATATACAATTTGAAAATATTTTCTCTGATTCTCTGGGGTTTTTCCACTTTTTGATGGTGTCCTCTGAATCACACAGTTTTAAATTTTGATGAAACTCAATTTATCTATTTTTTCTTCTGTTACTTGTGCTTTTGGTGTCATATTCAAGAAACCATTGTCTAATCCAGGGCATGAAGATTTACACCTATGCTTTATTCTAAAAGTTTTATAGTTTTAGCTTTTACTTTTAGGCTCATTATCAATTTCGACTTAATTTTTGTTTATGGTATTACATAGGGGTCCAACTTTACTCTTTTGCATGTGGATGTCTAGTCGTGCCAGCACCATTTGTTGAAAAGATTTCATGCATTTTTCAACTTTTAATTAACATGCATTAGTTTTATGATTGAAAACACTGAACGTCACAAAAATTATACCAAACATTTTTCAAAATTAAATTTAAATAAATGTAGGAGGATAATGGAATGTCACAGAAATTGAAAGCAAGAAACTGATTCAAGGAAAATCGAGAAGTCTAAGCTGTCATACGCAAAATAGAAGTCAAAGAACTTAAAGAGAGAAAAGAGAGACAAATCTTTGAGAGAGTATTTTCCAAGGCTGGATTTGTTTCATTTAAAGAGTAAGTGTATGAATAATGTGGAGATGAAAGCAATGAACACAGACTATGCTTTCAAGAAATTTGGTGATGAGAGAGAATCAGAATTCAAAGGAAGAGAAGAGGTGGAAGAAAGATTCTTACAGTGCAGAGGAACATATTTTTTGGAAGAATAGCCTTACAGTGTCAAGGAACTTGATTTTTGGAAAAATTTGAGTTATTCGTTAAGGAAAGATTGAGGATGCAGGAAAAATAAATAATTGATGAAAAAAGATGTGAGAAAAGGGTGTCAAATAGAGCACAGGCTTTGGAGTAGAGCCGTGGTCTATGCTCATTGAATGTAAGAAAGCAAAAGGGGAGAGACTGAGTGATAGGTTGAGAAACGGAAAAGGCCAGAGGGAAGGTATGGGAAGAAACAGGGAGGGAAGAAGGTATGCTGCAAGAATGGGTGGGTCAAGGGCAAAAGAGGATGAGTTCTTTAACAGATAAAGAGAATCCTCTTTCCATGACATGGCATTCTGGTGTGATCACTGAGATTAAGTTTATAAACTTGAAAAGCTTTTGTTTGCTGATTGACCTGTGTATAAGGGATAAAAAACGGGAGTTCGTTCTGGATATGTATTTTGCTTATACACTCTGAGAGTTAGTAAAAAGAAACAAAAAAATATGACTCCTCTGAAAATCAAGACATTTAGCAATCCTGAGCCTGCATCAAGAGATAGTAACAATCACTGAGGGGTTCAGGTTAGTTGGCCCCGTTAGAGAGAGAATCTGCTTCACAGTTTGCCTCAGTCCTACCACTCCCATATATATGTGGGATGAAAATCAATAATTAATAAATAAATAAGCACAGAATTATAAGCAGAGATTATATAAGCAGAGATGATTCCCTGCTTATCCATTTATTAACTGCTTAGCTTCACAGTTGAAAAGGAGGAGCGTTTATGTAGTGAAATCTGTAACGTGGAAGGCAGGGCGAAGGGGGGCATTGCTAATAAACACCCAGATCTGGCTTTATTGTGCTTAGGAATTCAGGGGCATTTTACCCAACAATGTAAACCATGAATGGGAGTTGAGGGGAAACCAAAATAAATACAAAGATGTTTTTAAATTAGAACATTTCCACCTCTTCCCACCTCTTCTCTATAATAATGAGTAAAGAATAAAATGTATAAAATCCAAGATCCTCTAATTCCCAGGAGGCTAACTGGTACAAATAACTATTGCAGTTTCACATTTCTGAGAATCTGACAAGGCAGGTACGTTTTCATATAATATTGCTGTTGAGTGTTTGTTCCAAAGTAAACCTGTTAAAGATTATGGATCATATCTTTTTAAACAAGGCAGGTAATGAATGACCCTAATGTGTGTAAATTTATAAGTATCATTATAAGACTTTTGAACAATTCTCTAAAACTATTCATCTGTGAACTTGAATAAATCATTAGTGCTTTCTTACTGTGTTTCAAATTTTTCACTTCTGAAGTACTACAAGGTCTTTCCCATCCAATCACATGCCAGCCTTCCAGCCACTAGAAAGAATAGATTGGGACTTTCCTGCTTTTATTTATATAATGCTTATGAAATTTAAAAAAAAGTGTTTGATGCATTCACACATTTAAATCTGCTCAGGCACAATGGATGCTGCCTGCATCGTTTTCTTTAGAAAAGTGCACACACACGAGAAAAGTGTCCTACTCCCGCTTCACCCGTGCGGTAGAAATAGTCTCATAAACAGAATGGAATACTCAGGAGTGGGGGGATCAGAAAGTTGTCAGATTTCTTTCTCTTTGCTCCAGCATCACATTCTGGCTTTTCTGGTGTTTTGTGGTCTAGCTCTACTATTTCACTCTACTCTATGGGACCACCCACGAGTTGTCCGGTTTTGTCTTTTGATCTCAAACGTGCCCCTTTTTTATAATCTTCCATCTGATCAATTTCGGGGAAGTTGAGAGGAAAAGCGTTGGAAGCCAGCAAACCTCATTTTCTGAGTGTATCTAATTTAGAATTTATGTAACATGGGCACATGGGCACAGGTATTCTGTATTTTCACACTGCTTTTTAGTCACTTATCCCCATCAAGAATGAATAGACCCACATTTTCTAACAAAGCTCTCCAAAAACACATAAATAGCAAGCTGTTCCTTCACAGGAATCTTTATGAAACTATATCAATCACAACAAAGGAGAGAAGAAAACCACTTTGGTATTAAAGGAATTTTTTTAGTTTTTACTCAACTTGATTCCAAAGATAAATGTTAAAAAGAAACATTTAAATATACACATAAACGTACACAAGCAAAAATTTGTTTACTGCTTACCTCCCCAACCACTACTTCCCACAATGGGGAGGGAGGGGGAAGACCGTAAAACCACAGATTTAATAATGTTTGGTGCTTGTAGCAGCTATTACTGTGGAACTGTCATCATTTCCGTTAATACTTTCTGTTGTTGTGGTGTTTATTTTCATGTTCTCCCCAGAATATAATTGGATACTTGAACATATTTGTGTTATTCAGATTGTTTTTGGGGATGAGCAATATAATGCCACTTAATTGCTAGGTTTTAAAAATAGGGTTAGAGTTGTCTATCAACTTCAAATCAGTAGATATCACTAAGATTTCAATCAACTGGTGCTGATGATTATGATAAATAAGGAAGAATGCTTAGGAGTTTCTGAGAGACCAGGTATGAAATTACAGCAAAATTTCATTTCAGAGCATGTTAAAGATTTAAGTATGAAAACTGCCTTAGAACATGAGGCTTCCTTCTAAAATTATTTACTTTGTGGCAGTTGCATTCCATTATTACAGAAATGAAAATTTCAGTTCTCCAAACTTCTCTCTTCCTCCTTTCTTTCCTTTCCTACCCTCTTCCTCTCTTCCTTTCTTACTAACTTGGATTGGCATCCACCTATCTTAGGTTGATAGAATCACTAAGACAGTATTAGTAAATTAATGTAGAGTCTTTACCAATATTTTTAAATAACATTTCAGATGTTTCTGGAATTTTAAAAGAAATCGAAGAAATTATGATATACTCCTCTCATTTTTAGAAAGAAGTTAAATCTGAAATCTGGAAGCATTTGTCATCTTCCAAAAAATGTATTGAAACCTCTCCTCTCTAATTTTCAATGGGATCTCAACGCGCCTTACTGTAGGAACTACATTTGTACAACTATATTCTAAATATTTTAAATATTCTAAATATTTTAACCACTGATTTTTGACTTGGAGAAGTGAAATCACTATGCTGTTAGATTAATAAAAGGCATTTTATATCATTTAAATGGTCAGAATTAGTTGCTGCTAAAGCTATCAGCATTATTTACCTTCAGCTCAGCACCATGGAAAGATACTGCATTCTTGGTTCCCTTAGGCAACAAGAAGACAATCAAAGGCATAATCCTAAATTGACTTTCATGTGCAAGAAATTTACTGATCTAAAAATTTACTAAGAGGGAGACCAGCACATCTGCCCCTATAGGAAATGATTTCTGCATAGTAAGTGTTGATCTGCATAACCATATGATCATTGCAAGTGCTGATTACCAAATCTGAATCATCATTACTTAGCAAACTTCTATAAATACACATGGCACCATGTAATATATTCAGCTGTGCTAAATTAATGACAAAGTCCTTACCCCAAGGAGCGTGGGGGTCTAAAAACAAAGAATGATAAAAAAGACAAATATGTAGAACACACACTGAGTTGGGGGAAATTTTCAGTGAAACAAATTCAATGAAGTATTTTTATGGTTTGTGGCAAAGGAGGAATGAAGGATCCATATAAAGTTTGCCTTTTGGATTGCTGTCACTACAAGTTATGTGCTGGCTTATGAAAGAACTACAACATTTTAATCCCTTGACTTCTCAGGAATTTTGACATATATTTCTGACTGCATTTTTTTTTAATATCTTCATATGAATATAAATACCATAAAATCAATGTATCCCAAACTGAACTCATTATCTTTTCTTTGCTGTTTTCTTGTTCCTTAAATCAGCTCTTGCCTTGGTTAAAGCACTGTCTTCTCCTAATGATTACTCAAGACATTCAGAGCTACCTTCTTTACCATTCTTCTCCCTCGTCTGCCACCAAATCCCGCAGATTACCAAATTGATGCTCTATTCTCCATTTGCATCTTCTTAATCCTTATTCAGGTCTTCGAATTTTATTTTAGATGACTATCATGATCTTCAATTGGTCTCCTCCTTAAGCTACCCTTTAAAGTCACTCTTCCAGAACAAATCTTAGCCTCTCCTGGTCCGAGTCTTGATGGCTTTCACTGTGAAGGCAGCACTGTTTCCAGTGGCATTCCTGGCCCTTTACAACCCAATCCACACCTCTCCTTCACATCCTTACTTCCTGCTAATCTCTACTCACTACACCCTAAAAATTACAACCTCGTTTAGGCTTCTTTGCATTGATTTATGACACTCCAGTCATTTTATATAGCTGGATATCTTCTTTGTCCCTCTCTATCATTTCGGACCTAGGGAAAAATGCTTATCTCTTATGAAACTTTCTCAGATACCCCAGGTGGAATAAATGTTCTTCTCCTGCATATACGTGCCTATATAACATGATAGAATTTGTCTTTGTCTAGTAGATATTGGTTGGGTGCCCCTCCAACAATAATGTCTTCCTTATACCATGAAGAGCACCCACATTTTCCTTTCTCATTTGGTTGGTGCCATAATGCCTGACTTTGTTTTATCTGTATTTTCTACCATGACGGGATCAAGCTTGTGGTTAGAGCCCAACTGGAATAAGGAGAGAAGGGAGATTCATTTTAGTGACACATTTTGAGTTCTTTATCAAGCTGCTTCCAAAATTGGATCCATCCATGGCCTAATCTATTACATGAGTTAATTACTTTTCTTTTTGCTTAAGCCAATCAGAGTTGGGTTTCCGACACATGCATCCTGAAAAATCCTATTTCTATCTATTTGGATTTTCTAATAACTATTTGCTTACATATATTTTCTCCAGTTTAAATTATAAATTCTATGAAGACACAAATGGTTTCTATCATCTCCTGTGTCTCCTATAATGCCTATCCTGGCATATTGTGTTATCAGTAATTTAAGCAGAGACCATATGATCATCTGTCAAAAATGCTTCCAAAAGAAATACTCCAGGGATGGGCGATTGGGCTACATGACCTGAGGTGCCCCTTCTACCACTTGGCATTTTTTTATTACTCTATTAATTTTAAAAGCTCTAAGAGTATTCCACGCTGCAAAGTTGACTATGATGCTGAACACAGTAAAAAAAAATGACGTTTTAGTTTCCTAGAGTAGTCATAACAAAATATCACAAACTGAGTGGGTTAAAACAACAGAAATTTGTTATCTGACAATTCTGGAGGATAAAAGTCCATATCGAGGTGTCATCAGGACCATGCTTCCTCTGAAGGATCTGGGGAAGAATCTGTTCCATGCCTTTCTCTCAGTTTCTGGTGGTTGGCTGGCAATCATGGCGTTCCCTAGCTTGCAGCTGCATAATTCCACATGCCCTTCTTACATGGTGTTCTTCTGTGTCTTCCGGTGGCTGACTTCTTATAAGGACACCAGTCAGATTGGATTAGGAGCCCACCCTACTCCAGTATGACCTCATTTTAACTTAACTATTTACATCTGCATCAACCTAATTTCCAAATAAGGTCACATTTTGAGTTAGTTGTGGTTAGGACTTCAGCACATCCTATTTCGGGGGGATACAAACATAACAAATGCCAACAGCTAGTGCTTTCTAGGAGGACGTTTTATTAGAGCTCCTTGCTCTACAGAGGGGAATAGGATAATTAAGACTCCAAGGGAGAAATCTAAATGGTTTAAGGGAAGCAAAGAAAGTACTGGTTTTACCCATAAATAGAACTGACACCCAGTGACCAATGACCACTTTTTTAACAGATAAATTTTGCTCCACGATTGGCACTTATATCTGAAAGAAAACATAATCCCAGTGGGCACTATCTAGCTCCGTCAGGCAAAAAGCGATCCATGTTGACAACACGACCTTACTGGTGAGGAGGTGCTTTTATTCATTTTTGCTCATGCATAAATTAGCTCTTTAAAAAATTCATAGGAGAAAAATACTGTGTGAAGTTGTTTTCGCTTTTGTGGAGGTTATCTGTTTATCAAGATAAGGGCATTATGTAATTTTAATGAATGAAATGTAACAATATATTCTTTGGTTTCATAACAAGATTAAAATTGATTCTGAACATAATACAGACCTTCTCTATTGAAAGGCAAACCCCAAGGCTTTTTCATCTTCATGGAGGTGTTGTCACAGAACAAAACCACTTGTAACACACGTTTGGAGTCAGGCACATCTTGGTTCAAATCCCATCTCCACCAAGACAATTTTCATGTACCTTGGGCACGTTACTCAACCTCCCTGAACCACAGATTCCTAAACTATAATCTCAAAAGATTGTTGTGATGATTAAATTTAGTAAATTCATGCAGGGCACCTATTTTGTGGCACATAACACTTAACAAAATGTGGTCATTATCATTGTCGTTATTATTATGATAGGCTAACATTCAGAATGTTTCTATTTAGAAATGTTTGAGGCAGAAACAAAAGAAAAAAACCTAAAATATAATAAAATATTAGAGAAATTATCAGTTTTGTGGACTTCTTTTTGCAGTTATTCAGTTATATAATCACATATAGGACTAGAATTTAGTGTCCTTTTGGGGGAAAAAAGGTATTCATCTTTCTAGTACCATGAAAAGAAGGACTCATTCAAGTGACTGTTGTTTTTTTTTTTTTTGAGGAAGATCGTCCCTGAGCTAACATCTGTGGCAATCTTCCTCTGTTTCGTATGTGGGATGCCACCACAGCATGGCTTGTTGAGCAGTGAGTAGGTCTGTGCCCGGGATCCGGGCCTGTGAACCCTGGGCCTCCAAAGAGGAGCACATGAACTTAACCACTATGACATTGGGCCGGCCCCCAGATGACTGTTTCTTTATATCTCTGTTCCTGCCATCCAAAGTTAGATGCAGACTTATTTGTGAAGCTTAATTCAAAGGAGATAGGCACCAGATAATTCAGAGAGAAACAACACACTTTTGCACCACAGTAACCTGGATTGACTCTCTACAGAGATCCAAGCATCCAGGTAATGACTAGACTGCCGCAGCCAATGTTCTCTTCTTGTCTTCCTCCTACAACCCCGGCCACTTCTCATTTTTCACTGAAGGCTTCTTAGCATCTACTTGTCTGTCATATGTGGTGTCCCTCAAAAATTTTAACCTCTTTTCTTCTTTTGCTCAACATTTTCTATGGAAGATCTAGCCTCTCCTATGGTGCCAAATATCACTCACGTACTGACAACCACCAAACCTCTGCACTGAGAGCTTGCTTCCTAGACTTTTCTGCCTAGTTATGGAAATCTATAGAATGTGAGCTACAGGCACTTATCTATATTATTTATCACTATATCCAGCATTTACCATAATGCCAAGCACAGAGTAGGGGTTCAGTAAAGATTGTTTGAATAAATAAAATGAAAGAATATTCCACATGTACCACTGACCATTTTTCCTCCAACCTATTCCCTGCTCTTAGTTAATGGCACCAAAATTCACAAATTGCCTAATCTAGAAACCCAGAGAACATATTTATCTCTTTTTCTCCTTCACCTTCCATATCTAGTCAATCACTAATTCTGTCAGTATTATCTCTTTAAAACATGTCAAATTGACCCACCTTATGTTTTTGTTCAGGCTACCATAACCTTATGCATCTATTACTACATCAGCCCCTATCTGGTCTTCCTACTCTATCCATTTTTGCATAACACACCCAGAGTGAATTGGTGTGAAATCCAAACTCGTCTTCACTGTGTGTGAACCCCCTTGAGAACTTTTCCAGCTTCATTTCTCAACGCTCCCTGCTTTCCACTCTTTTTTCTAATCATGCTAAACGGCTTTCCATGCTATGCCTACTTTGACCTTCAGTACACAGAACATACTTAGCCCTTGTCTCAGAAGGTTCCTCCTGCCAACTCTTGTCTAACTAACTCTTTCTTGGTCCTCAATCTGAGTTTAGACATCACCTCCTCTGGGAAACTTACCCTGATTTCCTCAGCCAATACAAGCATAGATGCTGTCCCCTTCTCCAGAACCCAGAGCATACAGTTCTGATGTCATTTAGCATCTAACACCCTGTATTGCCATTGCTTCTCTCCCCCGGAGATGCTACAGGCATATTGCATGCTGGGATTGTGTTTTCTTCATTGATATATTCCCAGCACCTAGGACAGTATTTGGCAAATAATCAACACTTAATAAATATTTGTGGAATGAGTGTTATGTAGACACAGTGCAAAGTAGCCTTTGGCCAAAGCAATGACTACGGTATTAGCAAATCTGTGCTATTTTTTTTTTCCTTCAGAACAGTTCACTTTGATTTATCTTGAACTGTTATGCAAGCTGTAACTAAAAACGACTGTGTTTGACACTGACTATAAAAATACCACTGTGCAGACTGTGTTTTTAAAAACCAATATTGAAGCTCAAATCATTTATAGTGGTGTCCATATTAAATGCTCTCTACCTACGTTCACTAAGTGTTGAAAGATTTTTTTACGTCTTTCCCACAGATTTCTCCTCCAGCTGCTCCCATAATAGCTTCCCTTACTTGGTCCACACTATTGCTAAATGCAAACAAATCAGACTGTGTCACAGAATCCACCTGATTGCAGGAGTAAGCGGTAGTCCTGTGAATCATCCATTGACTCATTCAGCATAAGCAGCAATTAATCTAACCTGGCATTTGTAGGTGCATGTGGAGGTTGGTTTGACCCATAGAGTGCTGCCTACACTTGCCACACTTTAGAAAGTTTCAGATTTGGAAGTATGAAGGTAAGATAGTGCATGCCTCATCATTGTCTCTTCCTCGTACACATGTAAAATGGATATTAAATTCCTGATGCTTCTTCACACTTGAGGTTAGTTATTATATCACTGTAATCAGACTTTCTTTTCAGATTCATTGTTTTTCTCTTAGTCCAGGATCCTTTTACGATATTACAGTGAACCAAATCCCAAGTATCTATGTGTAAGTTATTGAATTTTGAAAGTTCTCATACTTATTCAAAGAATTGTTATTGATCTTTATAAATGTATCCATGATCACATTTTACATATTTTTTTCACCATCAACAATAACAACAGAATTGTTATTTAAAGTACTCCCAGGGGGCCGGCCTGGTGGCTCAAGTGGTTAAGTGCTCGCGCTCCATTGCGTTGGCCGGGGGTTCGCCAGTTCGGATCCCGGGTGCGCACCGACGCACCGCTTGGCAAGCCATGCTGTGGCGGCGTCCCATATAAAGTGGGCATGGATGTTAACCCAGGGCCAGTCTTCCTCAGCAAAAAGAGGAGAATTGGCATCGGATGTTAGCTCCGGGCTGGTCTTCCTCACAATAAAAAAAAATAATAAAAATAATAAAGTACTCCCAGGAAAGCAGCATGACTAACAATACGGATAGGGCCAGAAATGAAACAGCCAGGTGTTAACGCACTGAATTGCGTCTCCCCAAATTCATAGGTTGAAGTCCTGGCACACAATGTGACTGCATTTGGAGAAAAGGTCGTTAAAGAAGTAATGAAGATTAAATAAGGTCATAACGGTGGGCCCTAATCAAATATGACTGGTGCCTTTCTAAGAAGAGGACGAGACACTAGGGATATGCGTGCGCACAGAGAAAAGGCCATGTGAAGACGCAGCTATCTGGGCAGCCATCTGCAAGCCAAGCATAGAGGCCTCAGAAGAAACCAAACCAGCTGTCACCTTGATCTTGGACTCTCAGCCTCCAAAGCTGTGAGAAAATAGATTTCTGTAATTTAAGCCTCTGAGTCTGTGGTATTTTGTTATGGCAGCCCTAGCAGACCTGGGTTTTAAAACCCACCCGGGTTTTAGTCCGGGCTTTAACACTTACCACTGCATGTCGATGGGGGAGACATCCAGTTCCTGAATTTCATTGCCTCATTTGTGAAAAGAGGGTGACTAGAAATGCCACCTTTAGGGGGTCATTGTGAGGTAAGCCATAAATTATGGTGATGGTGTTTTGTACCTTTTTAAAGTGTTACATAATTATTTTCAGCTATCTGTATCATATCGATATTCACTAGTTAGGAATTTGTATTATTTTTTCTTTAAATTCAAAGATTTTTTTGAGTCTTTATCAACACCAAATTTGTATTTTATTTTGAGACAACAGTCAGAATAGAGAAAAGAGCCTGTGTGCTGGAATCTCACAAAACAAATCCCAGCTTTTCCCAGCTACTACCCATGTGTCTTATAGCATGTCACTTAACTTCTCAGAGTCTCAGTTTCTCTCTCTGTAAAATAGGTCTGAAAACAACCAGAGCACATGGGACTGTGGAACTAAATGAGAACGTGGAGTCCTTGGTACATGGCTGCATCTGAGAAAATCTCTGTGGATAGAATGAGTGCGCCTCCCACAATGTCTAGGTCTTCTCTGCCCAGCATGTAGGACATTCTTGTGTTGCTTTCCTTTATTTCATGGAGAACAAGATAACATCAACACAGCAGCTAAGAATTAATGAGGTCTCACCACGTGCCAAGCACCATAATAAATGCTTCAACTGGATTAATTTATTTAATTTTCACAACTCCTCCTTTATTATACTCATTGTACACTTAAGAAGACTGAGGTCCAGAGTAGAGCTGCCAGATTGAGGGCAGCCAAATATGGCATGGGATATACTTATACTAAAAATATTCATTGTTTTTTTGAAATCCACATTTAACTGGAGATGCTGTATTTTATCTGGCAATGTGGCCCAGAGAGGCTAATAACTTGTCTAAAGTTACAAAGGAGCTAGGCTTCAAACCCTTGCACATGACCCACAGAGCCCCAAATCTTATCCTCTATGGTTTACTGATTGCATATGATTTTTTTGTTTGTTTTGGTGAGGAAGATTGGCCCTGAGCTAACAACTGTGCCCATCTTCCTTTATTTTGTATATGGGACGCCGCCACAGCATGGTTCCACGAGCAGTGTGTAGGTCCGTGACTGGGATCCATACCCGCAAACCCTGGGTCACCGAAGCAGAGCATGCGAACTTAACCACTACGCCACCGGGCTGGCCCCCTACATATGATTTTCTAAAGAGATCATTTGGGTGGGAGAGAAGAAATTAAGCTGGGAATTACCCTGGCTGATAATTAGAAAAGCTTTAGATTGGGCCAATTGTAAACAGGGTCAAGGCCAAGGCTTTAGGAAAGCTGAGGGCTCTGGACTGAGAACTCAGGGCCCTAATGAGTTGGGCAATCTGCTCTGACAGCAGGAGCAGAACAAAGTTTAAAAGCAATGTTTCTTTTTGCAGAGTTGTTAAAAATATCTCTTTTTTTTTTTCTCTTGCATTGGAAAACATTTCCTGAATTGGAAATAATGCTACAGATGAATTGCTGCAAGCAAGTCAGAAAATGGCTATTAAGTGTGCTTCTTTGTAGGAGATGTTACTGTGTGATCGCTTTGCCAGTGAGCCACAGTGAATTGAAGCCGGAGCTCTGCCCATGAGAGGACAAGTCATTAGTTATCTAATCTGGTTCCTTCAGCCCTTACAGTGACACCGGAGACCTTGTGCTGCAGAATAACCTAGAGATCTGTTAATTACGCCAACTACAAGGTGCGCGTATCATTTACACCCCTCTGTTCCCCTCCCAGGCAGCAAAGAATGTAGCCAAAAAGTAGACCAAAAATCTGGAAAAGGACATTTTGTAAGAGGAAAATACTGAATTTAATTAATTTATACAATTTATTTTTCCATCACAAAAGAGCTATTTATTTATTTATTTTTAGAAGACTAGGGGGAGGCTTGACAAATATAACCACCTGCCTGCTGAGCGTATTCATATTTAAATAAATGAAAGAGAACAAGAGAAGAGCTAAATAAAGCTTAAAATAAAATATAAATAAAAACAATATGTGGTGGAGATGTCCGAGCCAAAAGCGGGATTGAAAACCACCAGTAATTGATTCTTTGGATGCTAGAAGATTGCAGGTTTAAAAAACACTTAAAGAAGCGTTTAACTTTTAACTTCAGAGGTAAAGGTTTTTTATTTTATTTTTTTTTTTGTGAGGAAGATCAGCCCTGAGCTAACATCCATGCTAATCCTCCTCTTTTTGCTGAGGAAGACCAGCTCTGAGCTAACATCTATTGCCAATCCTCCTCCTTTTTTTTTTTTCCCCCCCCAAAGCCCTAGTAGATAGTTGTATGTCATAGTTGCACGTCCTTCTAGTTGCTGTATGTGGGACGCAGCCTCAGCATGGCCAGAGAAGCGGTGCATCAGTGCGCGCCCGGGATCCGAACCCGGGCCTCCAGTAGCGGAGCAAGTGCACTTAACCGCTAAGCCATGGGGCCGGCCCCAGAGGTAAAGGTATTGATATCAAGTAATTTAACTTTAAATACTCTCAGAACTGCTGAGATGGTCCCCAACTTTGCAGATTGTGTTTCTAAAATTTTTTCTTAATTGTTTAGATTTTTGGAATGTGCTTTACTATAGAAACAAAATTAGAAACTATGGTGTCTTCCCCAGGTTGGCGCACAAAAGCCCCTCTATTCTTAATATGCGTGAACTGATGTACTGACCCGATAAAACAAAACAGCGTTTTCTGTGTTCTGACCTTGGATTTCAATCAGGCCCTCTACATCTGCCCTTGCTTTCTTCATGTCTGTTCTCTTGAAGAGCAGCTAGTGTAATTTACTGTTGACTTTAGAGTAAAATCCAAACTGATTACACTGACATAGGGGACCCCCAGGATCTGGCCCTTCCGTGCTCTCCAGCCTCATCTCATCTTCCTCTCCTTCTTTGCTTCCTACTAGCCTCACTGGCCTTCCAGTGGTTCATCTTGAGCATCAAGTTTTTACCTACCTCAGGGCATTTGCACCTTTTTTCTCTATATCCTCGTTTCTTTGCTGTTCACAATGCTGGTCCCTTCTTTCTGAGGCCTTTCCTCACTGCTCTATATAAAGATGCACCACCCATTATTCTTTATGCTGCACATGGCTTGTTCCCCTCACAAAACTTATCCACATATCACTTATCCACTTAGCTCTTAGCACCAGTTTACTGCCTCCTCCAATTAGACTAGAAACTTTGTGCAGACAAGCCCCATACCTGTATTACCTCTGGACTTCCAGGGCTGAGCATCTGCTGTGCCAGGTAGTGGGTGCTAAATAGATATTTGTTGAATGAATGAATGAATTTGTGTGTGTTCCCTGCTAAAATAACCAACAGCAACTGAAGCACGACTCTGAATCCTCTGGCCACAAGCCAGGGAATCCTCCTGAGAAACTTGTGCCAGTGTTTGGAGGGCATTCCAAACAGTGGAGAGCTTTAGGCTGTCTTCAAGAGTAGGGAACAGCATTTCTGAATATGCCAGGTGACAGAGGATGGATCAGGTAATTGACTAAAATGGAAGTAGCTGGGACAATTTCTCTGTGAAATGTAAAATGCATTGGAGGGCGTGCTGATATTTGCAGAGCTCAGTTAGGAGTCTCTACAGAGTCCTAGCTAGGGATGGTAGCATTTGGACTGGGTAGATGGCAGTGGAGATTGAGAAAAGTTAACAAAATCCAGAGTTCTTTAAAAGATTAAATCAGGAGTTCTCAAACTTCAGCATGGTTTACAGATTGTTGGGCCCTAAAGTCGATTTCTGATTTAGAAGATCTAGAGTGAGCCCCGAGCATCTGCATTTCTAACAAGTTTCCAGGTGATGTTTATGCTACTGGCCAGGGGACTACACTTTAAGAACCACTATTTTAAATTCACCCAAGATTTGTAATAGATTGAATGTTGGTAATGAAGGAATGAGTAGTGAAAAGAATGACTTCTAGATTTCTGGCTTGAACTGTATTGGTGTCATTCCCTGGGATGGGGGAACTGAAACTTTAGAGAAGGCGTTCCTGAGTCCTTGATCTATCTGATGAGTTTGAGGTTCATTTCAGACGAACAAGAGAAAATGTTGATATATGTGCCTGGAATTCAGAAGAGTGCTCTGAAATAAAGATGTTAATTTTGGAGTCCTCAATATATTGATGGTATTTAACATTGTGGACTGGGACAAGTTTGCCGGATGGGAGCAGGGGCACTCAGGACCCAGGCTGAGAAACTCTAACATTAAGTGACTGCATACAGAGAATTAGTACACAAAGAAAACTGAAAAAGTATTGAAGACATATAAGGAAAACAAGAACAGTGAGGGGTCCCAAGATCCAAGGGTGCACAGGGATAGAAACACCCATGTTCACACGTGTACACATATGACCTTTAATTTTTGAGTGATAACTGACAGTGTCATGCCAAAGGGCAGGTTCCACTTTACTGCTACTTAGATTTTTATTACATTTCACTTCCATTCTCCTTTTCCTACATACCTATCCTCCTATACACGCACACACGCACACGCACACACACGCGCACACACACACATGCGCACACACACACACACTGTACTTGTTCCCAATTACACTTGGCAAACACTCTCAGCAGCTCTTTGTCCTTTTGCTGATTTCAAGGGCAGCTCAACTATTCCCTTTTTATGAGCGTCTGAGGCAGCTTATTCTGAGATCTTACAAAGAAAACCCATTTTTCTGATCATTTCTGGTTTATCTTTGGCTCCAGGGACAATTGAATTCAGGATCTCAAATGCCATGAGCTTACCCTCTATCTCTCTCTGTCTCTGTCTCTCTCTATATATCTCTCTCTTTCTGTCTGTCCATGTCTTTCTGCAATTTTACAGGAAGGAGAATAAGACCTCTGATGGTTTTGGGCTGACATCTTTACTGCATCATGACCAAAGAGGAAAGAAGAAAGAGAACTTCCTTTCTCCACTATAAATAACTACTGAGGAAGGCTTGTGATTGATTAGGCTTGAGTCATGGAACTATTCCTGCACCAATCACTGTAACTAGGAACATGGGCCACTCCAGTTAATCTAGCTGGTGTCATGTCTCCAACCCTATAGGTAGGGGAAGGGTGGTATTGCAAGCCTTTCTAGAATTCCAAGTTTAGATTGGGGAGACATAGTTCCCCAAAGAAAGAGGATTGCCATTACCAGAAGAGGGAAATGAATTCAGGAAAATAAAGCAGATGTCCACCCTTAAACACGTTGGTTTTATTTCTCACAGCACCCTGTGGCAAGTCAGAGCACTCACTACAGTGTGCAGTTTTACAGGTATTTCAGAGTTGACTTAATATGTGAATTCTGTACTAGGTTCTAGGAGGATAGGAATTACATCTTCTTTGTTCTCAGTTGTGTCCCCAGGGCCTGGCAGGGTGACTAACACATAGCAGGCCCTTGATACATATATATCTAATGAATGAATTAATAAAGTCCTCACAAATACTTTTCCTCTAGATGAGTTCCCTGTCCTGCTGGGGTATCTTTCCTCTCCATCCGGTTCTGTGGAACCTTTTATTTGCCTGTATTTATTCAGGCTTATGCTTTGAAGATTAACTAAGAGGCTCAAAGTCTGCTTCACAAGACTTCAGAGGATCTAGGGCAGAGGTCGATAAGGTTTTCCTACAAGGACCAGATATTAAATATTTTAGGCTTTACAGGCCATGTGTTCTTAGGCACAACTATGCAACAACTTTGTAGCACAGAAACAACTATAGATAATACATAAATGAATGGGCATGGCTGTGTTATAATCATACTTATTTATTAAAACAAGCAGTGGGTTGGATTTGGCCTGAGGTCTATTGTTTGCTGCCCCTGACCATCAGCAAAGTTTTCTGCTGGTGACCCCTGGAACAACTCTGAGTTCACCAATGTATACACAGCTTAGGCATCTAATATGAATTTTGTTTTAGTGATATCATTTTTTGTTTCTCATAATCCCTAACAGATAGG